CGGCTGAACATCCTCCCTTTCCTCCTGATGATTAACTGAATGATTTCCCGATAGGCTGGTTGTAAACTACATGCAATCAGCGGTTCATTCACCTTTTTTTTGTCAATGGAAAATCATCCAATGACTTCTCCCGCCCAGGGTAAGGCGAGAGAGAGTGTCAGACTCTAACTGACTAAGAACCCCCCCCCGTTCCTTCTCCTACTCTGGGCCGAGGTCGCGGTGCCTCATTGCGCTTACCTCGCAGCCCCGGATTCACGTAAATATCTTAATCTTTTTGTATTGCTGGAATATCATCAAATGACTACCCCTACTGGGTGGGGCGAGAGGCACTGTAAGACTCTTACAATCTAAAAACCATCCCGTTCCCTCTCCTGTTCCCGGCCAGGGAAGCTGTGCACAATTCCTCTTACACCCGCAACCGCGGCTAAGATATCTTAACCTAAAGACCTACAAAGAATTAGGACCAATCCAATCATACAATAGCAAAAAAACACTACATGCATTCACTATACAGAATGCACATACTAACAAAAAACAACTGATACACGGCTGTACATAGGAATTAAAATAACTACATAATTGATGGTCATCGTGCTCAAGGCATTTCGTCGGTACATTTTTATAAAATTAAATCATCTTTATGAGGCTTCAATTACCGACCATTTACGTGGTCCTTTGGTACGAAATATGTGTTTAATTAAGACTTTCGAGATTATAATTATATAGAATTATATACGAAAACGTCACTGCATGGTTATTTCTTCTTTATTGTCGTGTTTACTAGTTATGTAGATAGATGTCTGTATATTTAAGGCCATGCAGGAAAAGTGATGAATAAAAGGTCAAATGGGATTACTAGGAGTCCGCTATTCATTCGTCCGTGCGTCTGTATATCTCATCTTCATCATCATCAGCCTATAAGTGCCCAATGCTGAGCAAAGGCCTCTTCTCATACGGAGAAGGTTAGAGCATTAATCACCACGCTTGCTCAATGCGGGTTGGCGATTTCAAACTTATAATTATTATTAGAAATTTTAAGTCCAGGTTTCCTACCTTACCGTATGTTAGTGGTGTCTAAATAATCATAGAAAGTACATATAACTCTGAAAAAGTCACATTGGTACTTGCCAGGTTTCGAACCCACACCTTCATGCATAAGAAGCGGGCTTCTTAGCCTGTCTGTATAGGTATCTAAATCTCCTAAAACGTGAGAACTTGACACTTGAAATTTAGCACAAGATTTATTTCAGGTATTTCTTTAACAAAAGTGATATTAACCCCTTTGTCCTATTGAGCACTCGGCCAATTTTTATCTCTTCATTAGCTTTTCAAATTAAGTACGGACTGTGAAAGTATAAACTATATTAGAACAGTATGAGTAATTTCATTCATATTCTATATCGCGGATGATATAAGTAGCATTTTATGAACGAATTTTCCAAATATCTTTTGTAGGTCCAGAATAGACCCCATACTTGATAGTAAGGTTCAATTCTTGGTGTATACAACTGTATCTTGTTCTCTGTACCTTTTTCTTTATGTAACTGGCAAACGAGCAGACGGATTACCTGATGGTAAGCAATCAGCGCCGCCCATGGACACCCGCAACGGAGGAGTTACGAGTGCGTTGCCGACCTTTTAGGGATTAGGGATTTGGAGATTTAGGGATTGAGGAGGGATTGGGGGCGGGGAAGGATTGGGCCTCCGGTAACCTCAATCACACGGCGAAACACAACGCTGTGGTTGTTTCACGCCGGTCTTCTATGAGGCCGTGGTATCATTACGGTCGAGCCGACCCATTCGTGCCGAAGCATGGCTCTTCCACACTTTATCTGAAACACCTTATCTATAACATATTAAAAGTCACATTATGTTGCGATGACATTTGAGATGTAGTTACAAAATGTTAAATGGCTTGGTTTGTCCTGTATGAAGAAATCTTTAACATTCAGAGTATTACAAGCTACATATATGTGCATTGGAAAATCCAAATCTTGTTAACTGAAACATATCATAAATGCGAAAGAATGACCTTGACACAGTTTGTATGAATGATAATATTATGGTGTTTTTAAGCAGGCCTAAATCCTTTAAGAATCAATTTTCTTTAAGTTTTTTTAAAATGCTTGGCTGGGACTTGTCTATCTAAAAGTTTTTTTGGAACTCATCGAAGGAATCCTCCTTGAATAAGGCGAGAGGGAGTGTCAGATTCTGTCTGACTGACTTAAAACAACCCGTTCCTTCTCCGCTCCTGGCCAGGAGAATGGTATTTTTTGCACTTTACATGCGAAAGTTGGTACCTATGTTGATTTTGAGTTATCTTTGATTTATAATTAATATCTATACTAATATTATAAAGAAGTAAAATTTGTAAGTTTTTATGTAGGGGGTAATCTTTGGAACCGCTGGTCAGATTGCCAAAATTCTTTCACTGATAGGTAGCTACAATGTTCCTGAGTGCTATAGGCTATAAAACATCACGCTATGATTAAACGGAGCCGAACAGCGAGTGAGATCGCGCGAGAGTAGCTAGATTTTTAATAAAGTGAACAATCCATAAATCCACAACCACCCTTTATTCCCAAAAGTTCAGCAACGCACTTGCAACTCCTTTGGTGTTGCGGGTGTCCATGGGCGGCGCCGATTGCTTACCATTAGGTAAACCGTCAGCTCGCGTCAAAAAACAATATTGTAGATGAAGCCATGGGTTTTACCCAAGTCAATATGTAAGACAATTGCTCATATAATAATAAAATTGTATATTTATGTATGTTATATTGTCATAATACTGCAATCAGATCATATCTCCGGTTGTAACCTTCGATTGCATCTTGAACAATATGTACAGTACATACTAGTTTTATATATACATATATTTAACCTTTCAAGTGTAATAGTTCGAGACACAACAGAAGAACAATAGGTGCGCGAATGCCGGCGTTCGCTTGGGGTTTGGTGAATTAATATTCAGAACAGTTGGCAGAGTTCGAGACCTGGTAAGTTCTCATGTGACTCTTTCTAAGTGACATGTACCCTTAAGAGTATTTAGACACCACTTAGAAAATGTGAAGAAAAAATCAAAAACCTTGACTTACAATAATTTCTAATTATAAGTTTGAAATCACCAATCCATTCTGAGCAAGCCATTCTCCGTGTGAGAAGAGGTCTTTGCTTAGCAGTGATAATTTATGGGCTGATGATGTGAATTAATTTTGTTATGACACAAAGTTCAAGAAGTAGATTTCTCTACATCGCAGAACTATCACTAGAGGCAACCCTATTCAAAAAGTATGAAATCTTTGATATCCTTAATAATTTTGTTTAAGCATAAGGTTCGATACATCATTTTGAGAACTTTTAATAAAAAAAAAGAAATTGAACTAGATTTGGATTATTGTAGATTTATGATATTTTATTTCACGAGAAATAAGAAGAGATATGTATAATAGGGAAAGAGGAGTTACGGGAATAACTAATATTATAAAGAGGTAAAATTTGTTAGTAAGTTTATATGTAGGGGGTAATCTTTGGAACCGCTGGTCGGATTGCGAAAATTCTTTCACTGATAGGCAGCTACAATGTTCCTGAGTGCTATAGGCTATTATAACATCACGCTACGATCAAATGGAGCAGAGCAGCGGAACCGCGCGAGAGTAGCTAGTATGTCATAAATGTACCTACCTAAACATTTCTTCAGAAGTAGAATGTACTCATTGAAATATTTTTTGTCATACGGAGTATAATATTGTAGACGAGGAAGTTCAAAGTTTGTAAGTATAGATGGATTTTTGTTAGACTTTTCGCAAAAAAACCACTGAATTGACTTGAATGGAATTTGGCACAGAGATTGAATTAGACCGAGTCTGTACTCCACACACATGGAGTAATTTCTTTCTGAGTATAAACAATAAAATCCGCAATTGATCAATACAAATAAAGTACAATCTCATTACCATATTCGCTATTAATTACAATGGAATTATTCCATTAGCACTTAGTCATAAACAATAAATCAGGTATTTAAAGTCAACATGATAATATCTAAATAGTTTAAAGCTTATAATGAACAATTGTTGTTGTAATATGTAGAGTTATAATCACGATTCGTTATTTATATTGCCAACTTTATTTTATAAAGTGTTTGAATTATAATTTATGATCAACATCAAGATTATGACAAGATAAAGTTTTTCTCAATTGATGACGGATCTACGGTTTTGTTTTCGGTATTTGGCCGGATCCAAAGATCGTCATCTGATATCACAATTATGTCACTTTATAACTTATAACAGACTTCCAAAAAGGACCGTATTTTTTTAGTTTTCTTTTTACCAAGGAGTATAATTGTGTTTCATTTATATTTTTCCCCTGAGAAGGATTTGAATTTATTTGTTGTAGTCGGTTGTGTATTTCCTTAAGGAAAGTTATGGTGAGTATGTCCCAAAAACTATTATTTATATATATATTTGCATTTATTATAATAATATTTTTCTAAGCTAAGCCCTAATAACAGAGTAGATTACTAGAATAGAAACACCATCATCCCTACTATTTTGTTTAGTTTTCACAAAATACTATAAGGGGACTTATCACTCAGTTATTAAAAACTTAATTTTGATGTTACTAAAATAATCATGTTTAAAATTCGGTAATTATTAGAAAACTGAAGCTATTGAAAAGTCTTGTTTTCGAAAAACACCGAATTTAACTTTTTGATTGATTGGTTGAGATGATTCTTAATTCTTGAACACATAATTTATTTTACATCTGTGATCTGTAGTTTAGTGAGAGTTCAGTATAATATAGATTTTCCATTTTTTAAGCTTAAAAATCTTACGAATCAAAGGACCACAGTTTAAATGCAATAAACAACACAAAAACGAATATAAAATTAACACCCATTATAATATGCAACACAAACTTCTCCATAAGTAAGTTTGGTCCTTTTACAAAACGCTACAATAAACCACTTTTGATATAAAAATAAAAATCTTACATACCTTGTACTCCGCAAACGACGACAGTAACAAACAGACAAACAAAAATCACTCGAGACTCCATTCTGACAGGTGGTCACTGTAATACTGAACGTGCGCAAGCGCAGATCGCTTATATCGCTCTATAGGAGGGAGTGAAGCGCACGCGACTGTAGTATTACTAACACGATTAATGCAGATATTTATTGTATTATTTGCCAAGGACTTTTTATTGAAGATTATTTATTAATAAGCGGAATTTGATATTTTTTTATGTGATAGCTCGAACAAACTGATAACCTGATGGTAAGCAATCAGCGCCGCCCATAGACCCAATAACGGAGGAGTTACGAGTACGCTGCTGTTTGGGGATTAGGGATTGGGGAAGGGGAAGGATTGCCTCCGGTAACGATGCAAACGAGCAGACGGATTACCTGATGGTAAGCAATCGGCGCTGTATGAACGCTCTTAATACCAAAGAGTTGCTACCAGTGCATTGCCGGCCTGTTGTGTGCTGTTAGGGATTTACGCATAGGGGATTTGAGGATGCAGGATAGGGGGCCGTCGGGTGGGAGGGGAGGATGTGACCTCAGGCAACCTCAATCACACGGGGAAACACAACATAAGTATTGCTTCACACCGGGTTTTTGTGAGGCCGTGGTATCACTCCGCTTGACCTTAACCATTCGTGCCGAAGCATGGCTGTCCCACACTGGCATTTTCTAATTCATAAGCAAATATAGTTTTATTAGATTTTACCTACTAACAGAAAGTTTTTATTAAACGTCGTATTAATTTTATCATTTGTATCTTCACGGTCTTTAGCCTCTTAGTGACAGTTACGAGCCATCACGAGGTGCATTGACTTCATCATCTACATTCAAATAAGAAACTATGACATTTTTGTCTCCATGTGTTCCAAACTTGAAAGTCAAAGTCAAAAGTAAAAAATCATTTATTCCAATTAGACCCTTACAGGCACTTTTGAACGTCACACTAAATTTTGAAGTTATAGTGTCAGTCTGTCGTTCGGAAATTAATGTAATAGTAAATTACTTTGCTATGACAGGTTATTTAATATATGTCAAATCTATAATTTTCTTCTTAATTGTCATCAGGCGTTTTTCAAATATCGATTGGTTTGTAAAACGTCTTTCGATGAAAAAATGACAAAGTGCAATAAGTTACCGAGGCCCCGGCTCGGATCAGGACTTGGAACGATAGGTTCCCTACCTGAAGGATATAAACGGGAACCTTATTTACTAAGATTTTGTTGTCAGTTCATCAGTCTGTAACCACGTCAATTGTATTCAAAATAATAAAATATCAAAATCATTAATTCCAATTAGACCACCTTACATATAGGCGCTTTTGAACGTCAAACAAAAATTTAAAGATTTAAGTGTCAGTCTGTCGGTTAGTCCTCTCAGTGTTTCATTGACTGTGTTTAAGCAGCTAAAATACAAACAAAAATACAAAATATTTAACTGTGAGAGAGCCATGGTGTGGTTCAAATGGGTTGCGTATCCCCGTGTAAGTAAGTTTACCGTAGGCTGAATCCTTCTCTACCTCCAATCTCTAATCCCCGAAACCCCAATCCCCAAAAGTTCAAGATTGCTTAACGATTGCTTACCATCAGGTTTTCCGTCTGCTCGTTTGCCCAAACAACAAACATGACTTTGACCTGAAGCCATTTGTGAATGATTCCGACTCACACTTGTTTATTAATCAGTAAAGTCTGACACTTTTTCACTCCTCAACCAGGGCAGAAGGGGATATTTGATGAATTTTTTCGTTACAAAATTCTGCCTGTTTTGTTTTGTTGGACCAAAGGACCAGGGTCCCGTGACTGATACAGAAAAAAAAATTTGCGTACGTAATAAGTCGTTTATAAATACTAATTTGCATGCAATTAGGTTATTATTAATGAAAATAAAATTGTTTAAGGTCTCATCTGACGTTTCTTATATTACGTAGAAAGATTGATCCACATCATTATGTAAATCAGTTTCTACAATTGTGATGACGTCATGACTCCAACTGCCATTGAGTGACGTAGGATATTCTTAACGATCGATGGATGATATAAGGTTAAATAAAAATATTTATACTCAATCCGTTGTTCTGAATAATATTTTAGAAATTCTTGAGGTCATTCTAAGGATGTTGTTTGAAGTATTTAGAAAAAAATGCTTAATATTTTCTTTAATAGAGGTTTAGAAAGGACTGTTACCAGATCACTTCGACCTCTAGATATGTTAGGTTCATTTAACTTCGGCTTGTTTATTAAATATAGGCATATGCAAACGCATTCTTAAAAAATATACCAGATTTGTTAAGATTTTTTGACTTTTTCAACAGAAATCGTCTTCAAAAAGTTAGTCCTTTTTTGGTCCTTGCTGTATCAAAGGACCACGTTTTAAAGGAACGAGTATTATGGTCTATTAGTCAGCTGGCAATAGTGTATAGATCGAAATATTTCCCGTTATGTTTATGCAATCGCATGCCAGCGGGTGTCGGCACACACGTCGGTGGATTCCGCGAAGTTTTTATCATAATTATCTGTCACACTCTCAAGTAACCTCGGTTTTTACAAACATTAACTATGCTTGCTTACTAATATTTTCTGATGAATTTGTGAAGTTAAGATATTAGTAATATACGGAAATGATTGACTCGTCACAATCATCGTCATCATCAGCTCGTTCTCATCCAGTGCTTGGCGTACCCTTTCTAAACATTAGCAGACCACTGAGCTAGATTTTTACTTGTTCGTATCAGACCTCTATTCATATTAATAAGTTAACTAAAAAGACACAATGATAATAGGTTAAAATTATATTTTCTGTCTTTATATCCATTAGGTACCGTGCTTGGTTAAAGTTACATTAACAATGTTCTAATTTTTCATAGCAATTATCTAATTGCTAATATATCTATATTTATATATATATATCCTATACATATACATATATAAGTACACATAAGAAAATGGAGTGTCTGATTGTAATATTGAAATAACCCATTACATATACATAGGTATTTAAAAATAACACTTTTTGTCTATCTGTATGTCTGTTTGTTAAGTCCAACCTTTAAAATGCCTGGACCGGTGAAATTCTTAATTTAATTTTAGAACATCTTTTATTTTATCACAGAAGAATAGATCCTTCCCGCACTATAGCGATAATCAAATTTTACGGGAACGAAGTTTCGGGTACAAGACAGTAATATAATAAAGGTAGAAAATGAATTATTAAAAAAAATTAAGCATAAAAACCTCAATTAAAAAAAACTAGGAAACCAACTCGTACGCCCATGATTACCACTCTCACTTGGCTCAAAAGAGACCGAAGGGACAGTTTCCAAGGCGTCAAAGGTAAAATTTGAAAAAATTCAACTTCAGCTTATTTTTGTATGTTACCCGTAAAAGGTTAATAGCCCACTGTGGGGTAATAAATGCGGTAAAAAAGGGGAAGCTTTTGACTCCCTATGTTCCCGGGGTCCTTTACAATGGCCCCCGTATTATTGTCTAGGGATTGTTAAAATCTCTATTATAATGTTAGTTGTATTAGCAGTTAACTACTAAATTCTGTGAGATGCTGATTCTAATCCTTTTTTTGGAGATGAATATAATTTTTTTGTATTTTTCTGGACTGGATGAGGTAGTATCAGACTTCTCACTCACTCACTGATTGAAAAGCATCCCACTCCTTTGATTCACAGCCTTTATACAAACGCGACCGGATCGTAAAGGAAGTTCGTAAGCTGAGCGTAAGGCGCGTAGCGTTCCGCGCGCACCTCAAAGAGCCTAACAACCACTACAGTTGGAGCCCAGTAGGGCTGACGTTCAGCCACGCCACGACCCTATGGGTCAAGCACAATAATGTACCATGGCTCTGGTCAGAAGCAGGAGAAGGAACAGGGTGGTTTTTAGTCAGAAGTAACTTGATAGGTTTTCTCCTCAAAAAACCGCTTTTTCTGTTGTGTTTTCAGCTCACGGATTTTTCCCCAATCCCTAAATCTCCAAATCCCTAATTCCTAAAAGGTCGGCAACGCACTCGTAACTCCTCCGTTGCGGGTGTCCATGGGCGGCGTTGATTGCTAACCTCTGCTCGTTTGCCGATTTATTACATAAAAAAAAAACGCTAGAAAATCTTTAGGGCGTTAATAATAAGCTAAGTTACCTAAACAAAAAAGGGACCAAATTAAAAGTGGCTATCCAGGTTGATCATGCATAAAGAGATTGATAAATGTAGCTCAAACAAAATATTGACATTCAAGGATGGAACGACCCGGACCGAATAGGCCAACAAAATTACTTGCCTATGCTTCTACATTTTTTTTTATAGAAACAGCTAACATTTATACCATGAAAACTAGAACAAATTAATTTGTGTAAATTAAAGGTATAAAATAAAAAATGCGGTTTAAAATCATCGAAAATAATCTTTTAATTCTACTAACGCAACCGTTGAGTTGGAAGATTAGGTCCGTCTAACTCCCTCCCCCCAAAGGACAAACACCTGGGAATCTTCTAAAGCCCGGGGATTTAGTAAAAGTGCGCTGCCCAACAACTGATGTGAAAAAAACAGTGTAATGTGTTGTGCTTAGCCCTTAGATCTCTTGTGCGAAGGGTCCGCTAGCTGCCCTTATCTTAATGCCTCTACTGGACATACGGGGACCGAGAATAGACAACTTAATTACGTCAAGTTATTTCTAGGTATTTAAGTCTTAGCTTGCGTTTTCTTGTATAAATATTGGAAAAGTTGATTTTTCTGTTGAACCAAGTACAGAGATGGCATTTTCCTATTTGGTATAGGAATACGTAGGTTATGATAAGACTTACTTCACTAATACCTATTCTTTAGTGCACAAACATATCGTTACTGGGTATGTCAACCAAGACGGCCACCGGCCGTGGTTGCGGGGTAAGCACAATAAGGCACCGCGGCCTCAACCTAGAACAGGAGAAGGAATGGGCGGTTTTAGTCAGTCAAAGTCTGACGCTCCCTCTCACCTTACCCTGGGCGGGAAAAGCCATTTGATGATTTTACCCTCACAAAAAAGGTATAAAATACTTTACGAACAGATTGCAGAAAACTTTATACAGCGCCATCTAGCGAACATTATAAACATATATATTTTTCCTTAACAATTGCA